TAAACGTATATATGTTTATTTGATTTGCAATATGGATATAAACAGTATCTAGCGACAGATTTCATAGTTGTAACAACCGTAGCTTTCAAAGTAAATATCTGTTTGGCCTACAGGAGTGTACATCCGGTAATCTCCATAATAGCTCATGAATACACATACGTAGCAATTTATATTTACATATCACATCAAGTATAGTATTAACTTGTATATCATGCTTTTTGGTTTGAAACGATTTGAGATACTTTGACCCTTTGCGAGAGTAGAAGTTTTATTAAAGCAACTATGTATCAGCATATGGTCATGCCATGAATACATAGTACTTTTTCTGTAGATAGCAAAATCCATGTACATGAATACTACTCTATATATGCTCGATATAGGAGAAGAAACAGATCGACCCGTTCAGATGAGAACAATGATGATCGAGTGGATAACCTGTATCATTCAGAGTAATTCGAGACTCGTCGGGCTCCAAGCGAGTCGGTGCTGTTTAATGTATTGAGCAACATCAAATATGACCTTCCAAAGATAGGTGACCCCATCGCCTTCTAACAAGACAAATGTATATCTTGTTTATTCCCACACTGTATAAATCGCATGATAGAAGTGTGTATATTTGTGTGTAAATACCGACAGTCCTAAAGTTCGGTACGTGGGATGTACCGAACCGACAGCAACAACACAGGATAATACAGGCTAGGAAGACTGATTGCCAGCTACTAGGAGTAGACCTTGTGGAAGTTAGTATGCGATCCTACTTATAGGTAGGCCTTTCCTTCGTGTATCTGAGAAGCGTGTTCTAGAGGACGCTCTGATACTGAATAGTAGGCTACAACTTCGCCAGGCTGGATGTGATAGCCGACTACGAGATGAAGGAATGACACAAGAGATTAGGCCTGGCTAAGGGAGTAAGGGTGGACCAGCTTGTGAACATGCAGTAGGTTTCTAAAATGCTTTAGGAGACTACATACTATAGTGCCCGAGCATTCAACTAGTGGACTTGGAGGCACAACCAATAATCTGAGCGTTGACAACTTGAGTATAGTGCGATAGCCTCTCCTATTGGTTGTACCGGACTCGTTAGTTACCTGTGAAAATAAAAACAATACACACAAAAATTCAGTCCAGATATAAGTTGATTCGATAGTGGTGCTGATATCAGCACACAACATAATGATAACAATTGCATTACGCCTTTCAAGAAACTCGATGGAGATGATACGGGCTTCTTATCGGTGGTTCAACCGGTGGGGTAAGGCGAAGACCACCAAGGTGTATGACACCATGCTCGAGTCGAAAGAGAGGACGACCACCAAAGCGGACCAATGTGTTGCAATTTCTATGAAGCAGGTCGGTCCAGAAGCTGAGTCCGCCTGCGATCTAAGATTAATAACAATACAACTGTGTTGAGAGCTGAGCAGAATATTATGAGGGCATTCGGACCCAGGGTTTAAACGTGCGGGTCCAGGGGTGGACAAAGAGCCCGAAGGGAGATTATTACAGCCTACCAAGCAGCGCCAAAGTATGGCGAACGAGTTATCGTTGGTTGGCGTGGGTTTTAAATGGCCAGGTTGCGAGGCGGCGAAGAAGAGAACTGCGCTCAACAAATCATGAAAGAGTAAGGCTTGCACAAGTTGATCGAGATAAATAGAGAGCAAGATATCTATTGCAACATACAAGAAACCAAATTTGATTTAGGATACAGCGCGCTGAATAGAATGGAGAAGCCACCTTACGTGCCGCTACAATACAATACAGATGACGAGAGCTGGAGTGCACGATTGCTGGATTTGAAAAGCTCGATCATCAAATGTTTTCTACGTGATTAGTGGGTAATGTGAAGTTAGTGTTCTGAACAATTTTTCAGGCAGTTGGGGGTTATGCGGCGCTAGCATTTCTACTCAAGATGCGATGCGAATGTAAGGACGTCAAGGATGCCTGGAAGCGTGGTCTTGACCGCGAGGATAAATGTGATAATTATGACAATAGGTCTAAACGGGAAGGATCTTCACATTCTAATGATTCATACGGGGGATAAGGAGAGAGGGACTAGTGGTGGCGAGCGTTCTGGTAGAAGCTACCAACGTGCGGATAAATCCCAGTCGTGTGGCCGCAGCAACGATGGCCGTGGTGCTTCTAAAATGGCCTGCTCATCCTTGTTATCTAGCATCGAATTGAAATGTTTCTTTTATGATGGCAACTACTATCGTGTCGACTGTCCGATGCAAGATGATAGAGAGAAGAGAACGCCAGCGGGTGCCGTGACTGACTAGCCGAAGACAACGACCAAGGTCCTACGGTCCAGGGAACTATAGGGCGAACTTAATTGGCGATATATTGTGATACTGGGGCATATTCTTCATTGCTACATACTAAGTGGTTGAAGATGAAGGCTTGCAAAAGGTTGTCATCCCTCGAGAGGTTTTGGAGGCTTATAGCTGTATGGCTATTTCGATACTAGTGAGTGACTGGACCGGTCACGTACTGCAAGTATTTCAATCCGTATAGGTACGAACTAGAAATACCCAGATAGAAGGTTTCTTAGCCGTTGGCCAACGGAAAAATGTCGGGCCAGGCCGAATCCCCAATTGAGACGTTCGTCCCCAACGATTCCTTACCCAATGACCAATGGTAATTGGACATACAAAAATCTATCGCAAACCTCTCTGCCCAGGTCAGTACTCTACAGGCCAATCTCAATCAAATTTTGGGACCGGCTCTAACAACCCCGAACAATAATGGGCCCATCTCCAAGGAGCCTTTGACTGATGACCAATGGAAATCAACCATCCACCAAATGCTCACTAACCTCTGTGCAAAAACAACCAACCTTGAATCCGAACTCCGGAACCTTAAATCCCAAACCCTTGCACCTATAGATGAAGACTCACCCGACACTTTCCGATTTGGCTCCACAAGCCCGCCTGTTCCGCCTGCAAAACGACTGCGGTCACAGGCGCCCAATAGCAGCAGTGAGCCTCCCAGCTACCGCTCAAAAGTGGACAAACCTGCAAAACCGAGCCCTAAAAAACGCCCGACCCCACCAGCTTCTCAGTCCCAATCGCAGCCGCCAGTACCCGAACACCTTTTGACAAAAGTGGTGGGCCGCCCGATGCCGGACAAAACTCTTCATGAAATGGATGACATAACTCTGGTATGGCTCTTCTTCCGAGCAATTTTCTCTAACGGCAAGCCCCCATCCCAATCAGTATCTAAAAAATACTGGCATGCCCAACCAGTCCTCAATCGCCACAACTTTCTCTGGTATCTTCCGTCTGAATCGGTATCTCAACCAAATCGCCGCGGAAGCACCACCAGTTTCATCCGCCTTTGTGTTCCTAGCGACTCTGTCGCCCAGGTGAAACGACATGCAGCACTTACGTGGAAATGGCAGCTTGATAAAAACATCGACCCCCGCTCCCAACAACATCCCGACGCTACGAAAGCAGCATTAATACACTATCTCCGCACCAAGCGGGAGGCCCGCTGCACACATGAACGAGCGCCAAAAATTCTTGCCCGCAGCATGGATGCACTACTGAGCCCACTTGTCAACTCCACTAACGCAGACATCCTCCAATCTACCGCGGACCGTCTCCAGAAGGCTTACCAAGCAAAGCATGATGCAAACCTCTTCTCACTTAATTAACCCGGACGAGACTCTTCGACGACAGGCAATGATATAGAAATGGCTGACATCGTAAAAGAGGAGAGCCCAGTAGTATTGATGTAGAAATACGGCCTCCGGTCAGTCTAAAAT